CAGCTGCTTACCCTGTCCGTGCATGTCGCCGCTCAAGTCCAGCTGCGTGATGTAGTTGGCGGGCGTGGACTCGATCCACACGCTCTGCCAGATTCCACTGCAGGGGGTGTAGAAGATGTGGCTGGGGACGAGGTGCTGTTTGCCGATGGGAATCACATAGTCGTCGCTGTCGGTCGGGTCGTGGACATAGACCAGGCTGTAGGGCCTCTGTTAGCTGGGATGGATCGAGGGCTGGAGCTGTGATCTACGTACAGCTCATTGTTCGTCGTTGCGTTGACCAACGGCGTAATGTCCACTGTGAATTCGAAGTATCCTCCCCGGTGGAAGCCCGCTTGCTGTCCGTTCACGAACACAGTGGCTTCATAGTCCACGGCCCCGAAGTTCAACAACACGTTCTGTCCACTCCATGAACCGGGGACGGTGAAGTTGGTGCGAAACCAAGAATAGAATGCCGACTCTGCTTGGATGCCTACAACAATTGAATTAGCTTCTGCGCTCAAAGGAGGAGCTGGTGCAACCCACCCGACAGCCCGCTCTCGAGACAAGAAGGAACTAACACCTCCTGAGCAAGCGCCTGTCCGAATGGCGGACTTTGCACCGCATCCAGACTTGTGGCAGCCTGATACTGCCAGATCCCGTTCAGATTCTTCCAATCCGACCGCTGTCGTTGCGGTCGAGGATACTCAGGCCAGGGGTTGGTGCCCACTTGGTCGGTCCAGTTCGTCGTCAACGGCGGCTGCTTTACCGCATATTTCGTCGTCTGTCGCGTGGAAAGGTGCTGGATACTGCCGATACTCCGTGCCAGAGACTCGGAGGCTAGAAGGGGTAGAAGCCAAGTGGAAACCCAATGCATGACGGCTGTTAATGTCTAGTACAAAAAGTATGCAGCTGAAGCGCAGCAGCAAATATCCCCCAGATATGAATTACCGCCTGGGGTATTTATCCCCTTGCGATTGCTACCTAGGATTCATGCTGGAGGCAAAGCAGCAAGTGCCGAAGAGGGCCTGAGCCAGCTGATCCTACACCATGTCATCGGGCTTTTGACCCACTCAGGTCAGCATGATTGTCATGGCAGCCCCACGATAAGAGGGGATGATGGGGACACAGAAGCCCTGATATTGAGCAGACGCCAGAGGCACAGGAGTAGGGTCTTGGAGTGCTCCACCGGCCATCACTTGATCGCTTGGCAACCCAGCGTTGTGGCGCGAAGTGGATGGACTCGGGGAGAAGCCATGGGTGATGAACCGGGCCGAATGGTTGACAGCCATGTCCCATCTGCGTCCGAGTACGTGTAGATTAAATCGCTCGCCACCTGCCAAATTTGAGGATTCTGGAGCTGTATTTCTTTCTCCAAGTCTCCAAGTATCTTCTCCACCGATGGGTGAGTTGGTAAGAGACTCTGACAGTCAAAATCACTGCATCGGGCCCTGAGCGCTGACTCAGCCAAATCACCCAATGAGGGCCACGGATCACGAAGCAGGTTTTGGCTCCGATGGGGTCTTGAGACTGGGCTGCATGAACGGATTGCCAATCACTGGTCTCATCCATTCATATCTCAAGTTTGGGTGCAGTGAATTTGCCTTCTGACCCCTTTCTGCGTTCCCTGGTGTTGGGCACTTCCCTCCCTGACCCCTGCGGGTTCGTCCTATTGTGTCCCAGGGGCATGTGCTTTGTCCATGGTTTATTCTTCCCCGCAGATTCCAGTCTGGCCCCCTTGCCTTTTCTTTCTGTCCAGATGCTGACTCGCAAAGTAACGTGGCTAGCAATTCTTCCTATCAACTTCTACCCCGCATGTCGCATGCTGCCTAGGATGGGCTTCAGGATGAAGGCCTCACCGAGACTACGAAAAGTGGGACTCAGAGGTATACTGCATCATTGCATCAGCCAAGATCCCGAGCGATGATTTCATTAGGTTCGGGTTCAGAGGGATTGCTCGGCCACGCACCAGCCTTGCTGTGGCCCTGTTATTCAGCCCTGCCAAGGTGCATGTAAGTGATACAGCGTGTCAGGTGGGCGAGATTGCTGTGATTGTGTTGTTCTTGTTCATTCCTACATCACGTATTTGGTTCTCCGGTCTCGACCCGAAACTATTGTGGGTGACGTGACCGGCAGGTCATTGTTCCTTTGGATCACCGAGCCATGATAGCCTCGAAGATGAGCGCCGATCGATTGATGCCCCGCTGTCTGTTGGCTGTCATTCCATTTGTTGGGTTCCGGTGGGTTCGATGCGGAGGGAAGGTAGGGTCGGTGGTGATCACGGGATGGAGACCGGAGGGCTCGGAAGAGTCCCTGACACCATGCAAGTACTCATACAACGTCCACTTGCACTTATGACTGCGATATACCTAAACTTGAATGTTTGATACTTCTTGCCGAGTAGTGCAAGTGCAAGATCCTAATCCCGCCCAACGGTTGCTGGAAAACCAGGCGCGGTCTCAATTTTAGGCGTGGCGTCGCACCCCACATTTGCCGGGATTGAGTATTGTCCGCCGGAGGAGCGCCGCCACGTCCTGCATTCAATGGCAACGAATGTACCGAGTATTCAATCGAGAAGGTATGCATTGACCACTCCGGCCTCATTATTGATGTTTGTTGTCGGTCGGTCGGTCGCCGAGGCAGGGTGTCACAACTCCAAAAAGGCCGATCATCGCGGGTATGGGGTTCGGCTCGGGGTTCCGAAATGTGCAGGCAGCCGTGGAATCTCAAATGTTGGTCCTCGGTGTCGCTACTGTTGACACGAGGTCCACCATTCCACTCTTGTTCTCTGGGTTGTTCGCTGTCATGCCGGTCGCCGACGTGGGTTTCAATTTCCCAAGTATGATGGGGACGGGGTTAGGCTCGGTGTTCCGAATTGTGAAGCCGTGGAGTCTCAAATGATGGGGTCCTGAGTGTCTCGACTTTTGGAACGTAGTCCACCATTCCATTTTTCGTCGAAGTGGGCTCCAGGCTGTCACTTCTGTCGATCACTTTGCAGGTCACATATTTCAGTAATTTTTGTAGTGTTAACAGTCGGCCACATCCCGGCAGCCACTTTCTTCACGGTAACCGACAAGGCCTGTTTGGCTGGACAGTTGCACCCCGCGTACCACCTCTATTTCGGTCGCATATTTTTCATTATCAAGATACATGAGCTTTTTGCCTACTCATGGTCCGTTTCGCATCCTACTGTGTCCCAGTTCGGGGGATTGATGGGATGCTTGTTCGGTGAACCTCATCCTGTAGATTGTCGGGAGAGTAAGACTTTCGGATAGCGACTGGGGAATGCAATTGGTGGCTTTGCGCAGCACCGAGGCAGATAACATAGTAGTTACCTGCTAAAGACGATCTCGAGATAGGTCATATCGAATGTTCCTTCCTATCCACTATTCATACATCATCTCGATTTCAACCCATATCAAGAGATCGCAACACTGAACGGCCAAACTGGCTCAACCAAGCCTTCACTAATCAGCCCAGCCCTTCTTATATGCTGGAGAAGGATCACAGGGTCAGCGGCGGTATGGCTAGTCAATGAAAGCATTGCGTCGATGCAGGCTCGCCATGTCCAGCATCTGCCTTGCGTGGGCGCGGGTGTCCAGTCATTCGACAGACAGAGATGGCAAGGGCGGGGCGGACCTTGCGCGCGTTTCTAGTAGCATATAAACAGCAGAGATCAAGAAATATCTGCATCAAAAGGATAGAGACAGGCACACTATTCATCTTCATATTCGCAAGGTGCCGAAGGAGGCCGAGGTTGTCCGGCTGCGACAGAAAACCGGAATGAACAGTGTGATGCTCCAATCTCCATCTCGATTCGACCGTATTAGTACCAGATCCGTTAGGTTAACGTAGTCTGCGAGGTCATAGAATATATTTTCAGCTGCTTGGCTACGCCGACATGGCACGCTTTCCATCTGGGATACCCTTGCCGACGGTGGCGAAAATCACCAATCCGGGCGAAATAAGCACGCGATGATAGATGGCAAATGCTGGACCCATGAGTCGAATCACGGATGGCCCGAGCAAGCGTATTTCTGTTAGCAGCATCGTGGATAACAAAAGAGCTAAGGCGACAAGGTCATGGCGTGAACATGGACAATGGCAAACACCGGTTCAGCAAGCCAAATCTTCCCACCACGAGTCATCAACATTCAGCCAGCCCTGGGAAAAAGTAACAAGAGAACAGGTGTTTGCTACAGATCCTAGGAATTGTACCAAAGGATTGGTCGGCTATTATCTCGTCCGTGATCAACCTGCAGGTCTCTCATGCGGTCAGCACAGAAACTACATTAGCCTCAACGGGGTTGTCCGGCCCCGAGCCCTAGTCCGCCACTGGCCTGCGGCACGTCGTGATCGCTTCGAATTTCCATCTTGTCGCTTGAGTCTACCAGTCCAGTAAGGCCTGCGCCGTGTTGATAACGCTTTGACAAGCTTCGGTGGCAAATTTTGTGTTGCTTGATTCAGACTCCTCCAGACCAGGGAGAGGACAGTCTTCACTGTCACTATCGGGACCGCAAAGTATGACATCGCGTCTCCGCCTGTTGTTTGTGTATCTTTGGATAGGATCGAAAGACACATCTTGCAGGGTAGAGCGAGTAAGCGATCGAGCGAAAGGACCGAAGGCCATCTGCACTCCTGATCTCTTCGATTCACCTAGTCAGACCAACTAACCCGGATCCGGTGTGGCTTGCGATGGTGCGTCTTGAAGCAGGACATCAAAGCCGATGGACTGCGCCCGGACTTCAGCTCTTATCTCTCACATAACGGCATTAACAGCTAGCTTGGGTTATCCATCGTCACTACTTCAGCTTTCAGCCCTGAACATATCGCAAACATAGACTGCAGAACCCAAAGCCACCGTACATCGGCGACGCCGCCACCTCGTAGCCGCGTTCTCTGTGTAACATGTTCGCCCGGTATTTAAAGCCATGAGAGCTCCCTCTCTCCCTGCCAGGAGCTTACCAGGATATTAAGACCTTGACAATAACTCCACACACTTCCAACTTGTCATATAAAGCACAATGACACCTCAACCACTGCGACCAATTTCCTACCGGAATGACCCGCTGGGTACGATTGGTTGTACGGGCCCAGTTCATTCCGAATACAATTTCCTGGCAAAAGGCATCCCAAACGAGAATGACCCAAGACCGAACTCAGTCACGATTGACCCGGTCGCATTACATCTTCCTTGGAGAAGCTCCTTCCCCGCAGCGCGACAGTGCCGATTCTGGAGCGAGGCAGAAAATGCCGGCAAGGCACTCCTCCAACAGATCAAGCGGATCAACCGTGCAAACAGCACCAAGGGTGGTTCGGCCAAGATTGACATGAATGAAGAGGAGATAGAGCTCTCGAACAAAGAGGTGGAGCGAATCGTGAACGCGTCGAGCGCGGCCGTGTATATGAACCCCAACTGTTCTTGCGAGGAGATCGAGATTATCTCGCAGCTTAACCTGATACTCTGGATCCATGATGGTATGGCTCGTGTTACATCTTTCGGCACCGATTGAAGTCGCTGACATCCTCACTGGCAGACATCCTCGAGTCGTCGGATTCACCACACGAGGTAATCATGCAAGCACTTTATGCAAGTGAAGGAGGCTAACATGCGTGACCAGAGTGCAACGATCATCGAGAAAGTGACGGCGAGCTGGGCCGACATTCTTGCTCACCCATATAAATACGCAGCAAACTCTTCAGATATGTTTGTTTGCTTGGCTCAACAGATGCTGCGCATCGACGGTCAAGGGGAAGGGCTTATTCGGGGATACCTAACGTGGATGGCATTCATGCGGTCGACAATGCGAGATCAGTTCACTTCCCTCAGAGACTATCTCGACTACCGGGCGGTTGACATCGGACGAGAGTAAGTATCTAATATCCTCATGCCGTCGTCAGAAATCAACAACTGATCCCATCCCCTCCGCCCAGCTACATCCTGGCCGCCGTGAAGTTCGGCAACGGAATCCACCTCTCATCCGCTGAGGAGACACCGCTAGCCCCGTTGATCGCACTGGCCATGGATCACATCATCATGACCAACGACCTGTTCTCCTACGACAAGGAGCGACGCGACTCCGAGACGTGCGCGAACGCGGCCCGATATCTGGAGCAGGTCCTCGCCATTGACGCGGGTTCCGCCAAAACACTCATCAGCGGCCTGCTCACGCAGACAGAAGGTCGGATCCATGCGGAGCTGGAGAGTTTGTGTCGTTCGGGTGCGCTGAGCGAGGCGCAGATCCGGTACGCACGGGGTGTGATCGAAGCAGCGGCGGGCAATGTGGTTTTCTCCATCACCACGCGGAGATACAGCCCTATTGGGGCTGGCCACGCCAGTGCGACGAAAGGTTGAGAATCGAAGGGGATTGTTTCATAGAAGATTAAGACAACACCGATAGACCATCATCCACTGTGGAAAATTCTCTCTCCGATGCTTAAGCCCGCTGGACGTGGGGATGGAACAGTTATCTCCGGTACGTACATAAGGAACTAAATGGGCACAGACTCAGGCGGAAACGGGGATAACAGGCTGGCCTGCAACATTCCGAGCTACATATGCTGGGCTCTATACGTATACAGAACACCCTTCCATTGACAAAGTCGCCGTTCATGCTTAGAGTAATGCTAGAAGTAGCTGTAAGGGTTGATTGAACATGCAGAAAACTACCCTTGAAGATGAACATAAACACTGGTGACACATCGTCGAAATCATATTATGCAGATTATGGCTGCTTGTCTACAATCGAAGGGTACAAGGCAACTCCGCACATACTTCTACATAGTTGCACATGCAGAGATAAGGCGCTGGCACCTTTCTACTCGACATCACACAACTTAAACCTATTATCTAGTCTCGTGGGATGATACATGGCGCCCGTGTACTTATTGTGCTCGTTCACAACCACTCGGTAACGACCCACCCCTGCGTCGCCCTCTGTCCGACAAGTATTAGCCTTGAATGAACCAGTGCTTTGAGGTTGCGGCATGGAAACCAAAGAAAATCGACTTACTACCAGAGTAGACGCTACCAGAGGTAAGAGGGTACTCATACAGGTTACTGGTTGAGACAAAGAGCTTCTCATGGTTCTCATACAGTTCCAGGTACTTGTTGTATCCGTATGATTTTCTCGCCTTGGCTTCCTCTACAGCCCAGGCTTGTCTGCGCGCACTGTTAATATCAGATCCATCAAACCGCTGGCCACCGCAATTGACCGGTCTGATTTTGGCGCGGGCGTCGAGGTCGCGTTCAGATATATCGATGATCTCTGCGCTCTGTTGCATTGGGAATTTCGCAATGGGGTGGCTTGCCGCGCTGCTGAGGGCGAAGATGGCCACAAGAAGGGGCTTGATGCTTACACGCATGCTGGTAGAGGGGAATAGGATACTGGGTTAGTGATTGATTGATTGTGATTCGGGAATGTGTTCGTCCGGATAGAAAATTGTGCAAGTATAAATACTGTGTGCGCTTCCCGTACGGATCGAAAGTTCAAACAATCGTCGCTGTTGTCGGTGATTGACAGGTTGACTCAAGATTGAGGAACAAGAAGTGGGGTCCGTATTTGTAATTACCGCGAGCTATAGAGATGTTTAGTTCTAGTTCTTTGTTGTTCTTCAGTGTGAACAATGTGCATTGTTTGTCTTTGTTGCACTGGGACAAAGAGCGGCCCTGTGCTGCTTGAGACCGGGCCTAGCAAGGCCTAGCAAGGCCCTACAGGAAGACCACAGATGATTTCCTTGTTTCCCTTTGTCCGAAAATCAGTGTCAATCCATGAAAAATCGTATCTTCTCTAAATTAAATGTAGACTTCTTCTTTATAAAGCTGCAACCGGATATAGAATTGATGAATGCCAGCTAAGTTCTACGATCTGGAGAAGATGCTAGCTGAGGTCTAATCATAGAGTACATATCATCGCGACAATACTTGCTGAAAGGATTCTTGTAAGATAATCACCTCTTACGAGAGTTGAGATCTACTTACAAATCCAGAGAATCAGAGACAGGATAAAAGACTATCTTCATCCAGACTTACCTATTATCCTAGCAAAGCTTAAAATTAGGTTGGCGAAAACATAAGTCTAAGTCCTGCTCGGAACGTTCGGATGACTTAGTCGAGTTCCAGATACGCAAAACAGAGTACAACAAATACTGTTGTTGGAGCCATTGTTTCCAGTCAAGCAGACAGCATGCATAGGAAACCTAAGGACTGTCTGGAAACATCGGTATGATGCACCGATTAGTGATGTTCAATCAAGTCACCCTTTCAAGGGATGGCTTGGGAACGGCGAGGACTATGGTGGCGTACAAGCTTTGCCCGAATATAAAATCTCCCCAAACGAAGGAATTTGGATATTGTAATGAATGTATCTTGATAGCCCGAACAGAGCTGCGTCCAAGGGCTGCCCACAGCGCGTGTATAGCACGTCTTGACTTCCCCAATCACGGCGCTCATGGTCCGTGATAAAACGTATGCTGCATACAAATTCCCTCATTTGCTCCACGCACCGGGTCGATCTTCGGAAGGCGAGGGAGACTCACCCACAAAGCCAGAATCAGAGCAGACAGAACGATAACAAAGGGCTGAAGTAGTGTCACCCCATGAGCTTCGGCAACCACACCCACCAAAAACGGAAAAGTCGATGAGCCCAGGCTACTGAATCCGGTGGCCACACCGACAGCAGTAACATGCATATGCTCGGGAAGAAGCCTCACCGTTGCATAGACGATGGCTGGGAAGAGGGGTCCTAGGAAGAATCCCTGCATCGCGGTCGCGACGGCCGCGACAACAACAATGGGACCGAAGTGGATGACGAAACCAATCGCGATCTCACAGAGAATATACAGCTATGAGATCTTTAGCATGTCAGAAGCCTGACGCGGAGTCCCGAGGACTTACGATGACGGCAAGCCGTTCGCCGAGCCTAGGCGTGACAAATCCCAGAGCTATTCTTCCGAGAGAGAGTCCGAGCCAGAACCAGGCGGCGGTAAGACCACTCGCGAATGGGGCTTCATGCTTGGCGTCGCTCATGAATGTAACGACCCAGCCGGCGAGACCGAGTTCGATGCCAACGTAGAGGAAGAGGAAGGCTGAGCAGGTCCAGGTGACTCGAGCGGATGGGTTCCGGGATAGTGTCTCTCGTAACCCACTCTGCTTAATCAAGGGTTCAGCCTTCGATGGATCTGCTGAGAACTGTGTTGGAGCAGCAGCAGACATGTTCCAGAAAGCTGCAACTGACGTGAGAAGCTCGACTGCAGCACAGCCGATCTTGATAATGTCAGTGTTGTGTACTGTTCCTCTCGAATGAGAAGCTCACCATAACATAGTAGAAGTAATACCATGGCAGACCACCTTGTGATAGCATCGAACTCAAGACAAGAGGTGTCATGACAGCACCCAGACCAAAGGCTGCGTGAAGACAGCCAAGGACCTGGCTTGCGTGCTTCATGCTGCTGGCCCAAGCATTCCAGGCGGAATCTATCAATCTGTTTCCAATCCCTACCAATGCAAGGGTAATCACGAGGACCGGATACGGCGGATGAAAGCAGTTGACCAAGTAGGCGATTAGATGGCATGCGGGGGATATGATCGCCACGCCCCTTCGTCCCATGCAGTGATATATCTTTGTGTCCAGAACTGCTGCCACAACGTATCCTATCAGTGGAGAGAGGAAAATGACTGAGACGGCGATATAGGAGAGTCCGTAGTATGAAAGGAGCTGGAAGGAGTAAGCACTAGCAGCGGGACAATGAGCACATACTTACTTCTGGGAGCAGTGGCTAATGTTGTACGTATCAGTATACCGGATCAAGGGAAGCAGAGTTCCATGTAGCTTGCATTGGACGTACACCAGAAGCGGAATCATTCGCGCCCATCACGAAAAAGCTCCAGCAACACGCCATGACTTTCCAGATATTGGATTTGGGACGGTTCCAGTCCTGCCCTCGGGCTGCTGTATGACATAGTGTTTCTATGACTTTCCAAGTTGGTCGTGCTAGAGAAAGCCATTGATGTGATGATACCTCTTCATCCCGGCTTGTGTTGCTAACTGATCTAGCGGTTGCTACTGGCTTTAGGTTGTTGACAGGCTGGTATGAAGCAGTCTCGGTCATGGTGGTGCGGTCGGTCAACAGATTGCTAAGAGTGAATATAGTACACCTATATTGAACTGTGAAGAGAACCAGCAGGCCAAACAATCCATGAGGCCGCAGGATAGATACTAATAGGACTTTAAGAGTACCCAAGATCACTGTAACCCCCTGACTCCACCTAGTATGCAGGGGTGAGTCAAACAAGCCACACGGATAGCAGTGCGCTGCGACCATGAGTTCCCTACGGACCAGGTGTCTTCTTTGAGGAGCAATGACATTTGGTGCATGGTGAATCTCTTTTATCAGTAATGCTGATCGATGACCAGTCTTCAAGGCAGTGCAAATTGGCACACATCAAGGCTAAGTAGTTGTCATCGAACGACCTCAACTCTTAGTCTGTACTACAGGAGGGATTAACGGGCATATTTCACAAGGTCACTCTGATCACCACATTCTATTTGACTGTCGCGATAACCTCGGAGAGGTCATGATCTATCGGAGAGCTCAGAGGCTCCATCCTGCGGCGCTTGTCTGCGCCCGTTTAGGAAAAACGTTTCTGCCTTAGGGCCAGCGGATCCATAGACCCACTGCAATAGATTACGATGTGTGTAGGAATTCTATTCTTAAACAAGGAAGATTCCGATCTTTGAAATCTTCCAGCGTTTTGTTATTCTGTCACGACTTCTTTGTCGCGACTCCAATCTTTCCCAAAGGCCAGCCGATCGCATGCATCACAAGAGCCGGGCAGACCCTCGAGAAGGGGTCGTCCCGATGCTATCTCGGCGGCACTTCTTCACAGGACGCCTTGACACAAGATATGAAAACAAGAGATCATCGTGATAGAGGCCACATGTGGCTTTACTGTACATGGGACATGTCAAACCTGGAGACTTGATGGAATAATCTGACATGGTCCTCATAGTCTAGCTTTGGCTACCGGTCTAATATCTCCTCGAAGGAACTCCCCGATCCCGCCCTCAATCGTCCATGCCTCTCTCGCCAGACCCTGTTGATTCACCGGCAACTGTTGGCTCCAGCTCATCAACCTTTCATACACATTCCCATCACGGCATCCGAGCGCGCTACAGAGACTCGCATCTGTGAAGTCCCAGGCATCAGTCAGAGCGGTGATATCAGGCAGCAGTGCCGTCAGAAGTTCGTCGATGCGCGCACGCATCTGCAGAAAGTGGTTGGCAGTCAAAACTCGGTCTTCGGCGAACGGGATAGAGGCGAATGATGGGCTTGGGTTGGTGATGGTTGTCAGAGCGAATAGCTCCGTGAGGCGTGAGAGAACGGGGAGTAAGCTCGGCTGCGCACTCCCGATGGCAGCCACACGGCGCTGCATGAACTCCAGCACAAGGTACTCTACGTACGCGTGTGCAGCGGGCAGAAGCCGTGTGAGAGATGTGTTCCATGCTTCAGCTGGGGACGACGTGCGGGTTTGCTGTGTGTAAAAGGAGTGTGCTGTGGATAGGAGTCGGTGGAAATGGTGTTGGAAGATCTTCAACAGGGTTGCTGGCTCTGAAATGTGATTGCTGTCAAGCAAAATGTATGATGGTGGGGAATTCTCTCCCTCAACCTGCAGCCATTGCTGGTATCCCGACAGAGACTCAATCATGTCGGAGTCCAGCATTCTTCCTGCTTGAAGATCGTCAATCTGCTTGAACATGTAGCGCAACGTTTGCTGCCACATGACATAATTCTCCCCTTCGAAGGTCGCCGCTGCACACGCCGTTGCCACCATATCCGGTAGCCCCGAAATTACGAGGTATCCATGTCCCCCACACATCTTGCGCGCCTCTTCCGCTCCCGCAGCAACAGCCTGTGTAGCCCAGGCTTTCAGCCCGGCGCTCACAGCATGGGTAAAGGATAAGCGACCGAGCTTCCCTTCTCTCTTCTCCTGCTGATACTCTTCGAACCGGTCGTCAAACTCCTTCGAGGCGAACAGGATAGCATACGCCTGAGAGATGAGCGTCAATAACCGTTGATGCTGCGACTTGTAGGCGAGAATGGAGACTTCGGGGCAGGTAGATGAGGAGGGCATGGGAGCGCCCTGCTCGCGCACCACTGCATACCGCGTCGCGACGGTCAGAGGCTGCGCCAGCCCGAACGCCGCCCAATAGATCACCACCCGCCGCACCTCCAGCATTGTCGCATAACTCTGTTTCGCAATGGAATCCTGAGACTCTGCCTCGTTTCGCACATATGCCCCGTCTGGTAGCACCCGTGCATGCGCCGCCAGCAGACTACTTCCTGGGACGCGCAGGTGATTGAAGTGGGCATAGCCATTGCACGTACCGTTATACGCCATCTTCTGGCCTACATCCCCCAGCGTCACTCCCTTTAGGGGTGTGGAGTCAGAAAGATCGCGGATCTGCACGACAAACCAATGCACGCCATGGTCCACTCCCCTGGTCTCCAGTCTGGCTGCAACTACTGCATGAGAGCAGCTGAGTCCCAGGCCCCCGGGCCAGAACTTCGTCGCGGTTACCGTCGGAGAATGGAGGATGAATTCTCCCGTGGCTGAGTCGAAGGTCGCCGTGGTCTCCATGCCACGGACGTGGCTGCCGTGTCCCAGCTCCGTCTGCGCGTAGCAACCGTTGATCTCCATGCGATCGATCAACGGCAGCCAGTACCGTTTCTGTTCATCGGTGCCCTGGAGATTGATTGTGCGGCGGAACATGAGGAAGTTTAGGCCGAAGGGTGTAGCGTTGGTGAGTTGGCTGCGCTCGGTCAGGTTGACGAAATGGGTATGATTGTGCTCTAACATGTCGGTGACGATGGCCCGGCCGCGGCGCAGGCCCTCCAGGTATTGCTCCCTCCGGTCGAGGCCAGTGTGGAGGTGAGGAAGCTTCATAGTGTTGGTTATTTCTAGGGCTGATTCAACGCGGGTGAGGGCTGCACGGCGGGAGGAAACATTCTCCTCTCTATTCATACAGTGCATTGGTTCAGGAGGCGCATTTATGGAAAATAGTCTGAGGACTGCATACCAACTTACCCGTCATAGATGATGTGCGTCAATAGCACAGAGTCAAACGTAGCCGCTTGACGGGCCTGCGTCATCAGTGCCATCTGCCTATTTGGCGACATTGTGTGCACAGAGTTGAACGATGGCTTCATCCCTTCTTCTGGTTAATTCCGTTCATATAAATCAGAGGGAGTGTGGCATGATACAGGAATATATTAGCTGCACCTCCGCTGCAAATCAGGCGTTGAGCGCAGAAATTGTGGCTTCTGGTGGGCACTGTAGCGATTGGACCGCCCGAGCAAGCATCAGCATCGAGCCGAGGCTGTGCTCAATGTGAATTGTTCCAAAGCAGGCTAGCTGGAATGTAGATGATCCTTCTCCAGCAATCAGAGCACGAAACCTGGAAGTCTAGAAAATGCCAAGGCACGGCAATGGTTCGCGGACGGCCTGAGCTAGCCCGATCCAGTTAGCCTCGATAGAGACTATTTGCTGCCAAGATCTTAGTCCCATGGCGCTGGGCTCATAGGCGGATCTGGTTTATCCCTCACTTCCGCCAGATGAGGTCGGTTTGGATGGCTGTCGGATTAAAGCAACCTTCTTCTCTAAAAAATGCAGTCTACCCTTCTGAAATAAAACTGAATAGGAAAAGCTGTGGAATCACAGGCGACCAAACAGCTTAGGCGGGTAGCCTTCTTCACGGGAGATGAACCAGATAGAAACAAAAACATATCAAGCACTCTATCTGGCGGTCGCTTGGTGCTAGTTACATCTGTTTTTGCTTTTCCATGTGAATGGTGGGTTCATAATCTGGAAGACAAGGGCTTTAACAAATTTATCAACTTATTCGGCTCGTGTGCACACGAGATAGATAAAGACACCATTCATCATGAGGTTTATCCTCGAGCTTCTTTCGCAGCTTGAGCCCTTTCATTAGCCACGGGTCCATCAATAGCTCCAGCGCCGTTGGACGATCTGCAGGGTCCCATTGCAAGGCTCGCCGCAACCACCCCAAAAGCCCTTCAACATCCTCGCCTTGAATGTTGACGGCCAACTTCTCGAACGTTCGGTCGGGAATTGGAACCAAGTTTTTGCAGTTCCCGGATTCATCCCAGAACACCCAGCTCATGTCCAGTTTCTTGAGGAATTCCAGCGGTGGAGGCCCAAGCAAGGCAATAAGTTCTGCGATATGAGCCCCGTCGTCAAAGATGCCATCGATGACTTTACCCTCAATGATGGTGTTCGGGCTGACTAGATCCCATGCCTTTCAAGATCTGTCAGTACTCATCGGAGACAAAGGAGGTGTTTAGTGGAATGGCTTACCACCATGGCAACACTCCAGATATCGACTTTGTAATCCCAGTTCAATTTCAGGATGACTTCAGGGGCGCGATAGTAGTCGGGCATGATACTCTCGGAATGATCCTCGTCAGGGAATGGAAAGCGTAAGTTCAGTGGGGACACACCGGGGTCGCTGATAAGCCCACTGGTGTCCTGGAGGTCGTTCAACAGGAAGTCCGCGTTCGTGATTCCTGCGGAATGCAGTGCTACTGCAAGGGCTCGATCTGAGAGCCCTAGGAAGATCTCGGGACGGGAATCTTTCAGCCAGAATGAGAGCGTTGGCTCAGATAACACCGATAGGGTTGTATCTCTGCGAAGCAATAAACTGCAGAGCTGCTGAATGACAAGCCATCTCTCCAACCTTAAGATAGGGCCATGATATCACGTGATATGGGAGGAGCCTGTATCTGCATGTCCAGTGACCAATATACATACTTGTGCAAGACCGGACTCAGAGCAGGAGAGCGAGTGAGCTTACTAGAGCTTGTAGCACGAAAGTGGTCAACATCTAAAAAAGTACAGGATCAACCAAACCTAGCAACAAGCGTTCACCGAGGTCAAGGCAGCGATGAAAGAAGTTCGCTTACTGATATGATTATCCTGAATACACATTGGCATTCTTTGAAATAAACATGTGTACAACGGTACAGATCACAAACGCCTACAGCACCGCCAACCAATAAAGGCATTGTCTCAGGCATCCTTTTGAGGTTACCGACACTATCCAACAACGGCATTGTCTGGTCTTTTGACCAAGCCACCTTTATGGTTGAAAGAAGTATTCTGGAACTATATATTACCACCTAAACGTTATATTGTGTGCGGCCACTCGCCCGGTCTCACAAACTCGTTTGCCTACCTCACCCTGTCGTTCAAGCGTGTTTTTATCGCCTGCAGCTTTCATCCAATCGCATAGACACCTTTCGCGTCAACAGTCGAAATGGCGAACGAGATCGACACCCACATGACAACTCAAACCAACAGCTCTATGCCTTGCACAAGCAGAAAGCGAGGACTCACCTACGATGAGGAGCCTGGTCGGGCGTCCAAAAGACCCAGGGCTGGCTCCAACAAACCGCCGCCTATAAGACACAACGACTCCGCTCGCCATGCTGCGGCGCCTTTGAGTGCACCACTACTTTGCACTCGACCGTCCTTCGACCTCTCAGAGTACGGCATTACAGCTCTGCCTCAGCTGCACTACAAAGACGAGGAGGCTGCACCGGGCTCAGTCCATGTCCAATGGACCTTGCGAGCCCCGGTCCAGTATCACCGGGTTCCAGCTCGGCGACACAGCCTCGGTGAGCCCCGACAGGTGAATGCTCCTGTTCGTGTCCATGTCCTAAGACTGCAGCCCACCGTGCTCTGCAGCGTGCAGCAAACCATCCCCAAAGCTGCGGTTCTGCACTCTGTAGCCGTGACCAACCCCACCACTTTCAATCGCCCTAACCATCCTCCTCAAAGCATCCCCGCGCCCGATCCCACCCTCCTCGAGTCCCTACGCACTCAAATCCCGAAGGAGATCCTCCCACTTGCCGCCCGGCTGTACGGACTCCTGTACCCTCGCGAATGCCCCGAGACGGACCCCACGACTTGCGAATGCCACCTGGCCCAGATGCAGGGCTGGTCGTCGTCTCCAACCACCGACATCCGCCAACACCTCCTCACCTCCGACCCCACGGCCCTAACTACCATCACCAACTTCCACACCAAAATCATGCACTTCGTCGAAGACTACATGACCCAGACCTGGTCCACCTTCGCCCAACGCTTCCCCTCCCTAACCCTCACCCCGTCCCCCTCCCGCCCGGAATACCTCCGCGTCCTCCGCATCTTCTATCTCCACGAAATCTGCACCCGGGAGATGGCCCTCACGCGCCGACGGATCCCGACCCGCGGTGCCGCGCGGGGGTTCGTGAAGGAGAGATACAACGTCTGCCTGGACGCCTCCTGGCGCCACCAGATCACCCAGCTGGCCGCCTGGGAAGTGGAGCAGCTGTTCTGCGTGGCCACGTATCTCCGGGGCGTGTTCGACGCGCTCCTCGACCGCGGGCTGGACCGCGCGCGGCTGCATCGGCTCGAGGACGGGATGCGCCCGCTTCCCCCCGACGATGGCCAGTTCCAGGGCATGGCCTTGCTGTACCGCGCGTGCGCGGAACGGGATCCCGTGTGCAGGGCCAGAATGCTGGAGGCGGCGGATCGCGGGTGTCTTTGGGTGGTTACGAGTCAGAATCTGGGGAATTTCCTGCGGACGGTCGGCGGGCATCGGACTGCGGTGCTGTGGACGGGGGGTCGGTTTCGCGATGATGGCTGCGGGGCGCAGGCGGCGTGGCGATGGGCGCTGGGGAAGGCGGAGTGGACTGTCTTGGTGGGGCGGAGGCGCACCGCTGAGGCCAGGAGGTGGGGGTATGTGTTTCTGGATCGGGAGCGGTTGGTGAGCCATGGGGTCTTGACGGAACCGTTTGTGCGGAGTGGCGGGGTGCGTGATGAGTGAGGTGGTGGCGGTGGTGTTTCTTTGATGCTACGAGGGCAGTTTAAATATATATCTATACATCTGCTGAAGAGTTATTGTTCTTCCTTCATCATCTGTGTGCATCGCTCATCTGATATGTCGTAACCGTAGCCGTAATCTACCAGGTAGTACGTAGTCTAGTCTATACACAATCTAAACCCCAGACCCTAACACCCCTATACCTCCACAAATGCAACAAAATCTACAACACCGTCCCCCGCACCTGCCTGACCCCCCTCAACCGAATATCCCTCCACATCGTCACCCCCAAAACCGCCGCCGGCAACACCGCCAGCCCAACAATCAACATCCGCTTCTGCGCCACCCCGTACGCTCTGACCGTCGCCTCGCGCTCCTCCGTCCCCGGCGCAAACTCCAACACCCGCGCAATGGACCCGTACAACTCGGCCGCCAGATACTTCTTCTCGGGTGGGAGATACTCCTCGATGTACGCGGGGACGGTACTCGTCCAGATCGCGCCGGAGATGGCCGCGCCCACTGCGGACCCGATCTTCGACCCCAGCCCGACCAGCGCGAAGGACACGGCGATCGTCTCGTGGTTGCCCGTCGCCAGCCCCGCGATCTCCTGGCAGATGACCAGCGTGCCGCCCGCCACGGCCTTGAGGATCTCGCAGGCGATCACGGCCGTGATGTGGCTCGTGGGCGAGCGGAAGGGGATCATCAGGGCGGTGCCGAGGATGAAGAGGGGGAGGGCGGCTAGGGCGGGCGTTTTGAAGCGGTTGATCTTGCGGATTAGGCTGGTTTGATTAGTACACATGTCATAGGGGGGGGGGGGAACTGAAATGCGAGGGGCACGTACATCCCCACCGGAATCGAGATGATGCAGCTGCCAATGCTGTAGATGTTGTAGATGTACCCTGTGTCGCGGATGCTGGTGTTGAAGACGACCTGCAGGTAGGAGGAGAAGTAGAGGTCCCAGCAGCTGTACGGGTTGTTAGTGGATTGAAGTGGTGTAGGGGAAACTGGGACCGGAAGGGCAAGGCGTACTAGAAGCTCATGAACATCGCGCAGGCCAAAAGAAACGCGCCGAGGAGCGTCGGGTCCCGCAGCCGGCTGTACGGGACGAAGCACACCGGGGCCCCCGATCGCTCCCAGAACAGAAACCCGATCACGCTGAGGGCACCCAGCACGATCATCGCGATGATGTCCGGCGCCATCCACCGGTCGAGCAGCGAGGTGCTCCACATGTTGGTCCCCGAGGTGGCCAGGGTCAACGGCAGCAAGATCAGGACGAAGCCGGCGGTGATGAGGAGCATTCCGATCGCTGCGTTCGTTAGTACGGTGCTGTGGATCGTCCCAAACAGGCATCACATACGGTCAAACTCCACGGCATAATGAATGATCGTCTCCATCCGTGTCCGGTCTTTCGGCTTCGGCTTGATGACACCCGCCGATCGGGCCTTCTTGCGCGTACTCCAGAGGAGGAGGAGGAGAGGGGCGGTCACGAGGGGGGTGAGAACGGCGAAGATGCCGAATCCGGTGTACAGGGCGTCGCGTTCGTAGAGGAACTGCGCGGCTGCTGGCCCGATGAAGGTGGTGATCACGTAGGGAAACGAGGCGATGCCGTAGACGAAGGCCCGGTTGACGAGCTCGGTGGTGTCGGACATGAAGACGTGCAGGACGTAGTCCATGCCGTTGTAGCCGACCCAGTAGATGATCTGGACTTGAGTCAGGGTGGGCTGGTCTTTTACGGAGGGGTGCAGCGGGGAAGAGCCTACCTGTGCGGCGACATAGGTTTCGACATTCCGACAGGCAGCCATCAGAACCAGGCCTAGCCGTAGTCAGTATGCAGCCTGTTTCTTGTGATCGAGCAACTTACCCAGGGTGCACAATGCGACCATAGCAGCAAAACCCTCGGGGCGGCCCAGAATGTCGATCAATTTGGCGATCGGCAGTTTCGACACCCCGCCAATGATGCTCGTCAAGACATTGGTCATGGCGATGAGCGAATGGTCGGTGAACTCGGAATAGACATAGGGACTCAGACTGCTGGTCGTCTGCTGCTGCAGGGAGTTGACGAAGAAGATGATGAAGACCCTGCGGAGTTAGAGGGGACTCGACGAGACTGCGGGGGACTTAACTTACAGAGCGTAACCCGTATACAGGGTTCGGGTGGACCAGACCGAAGCCAGGGCCTCGATCTCCGCAACCCCATGAGAGGTATGCTCCGGGGAGGACAGATCCGGGCCATCGGGGATAGGCTCGTAGCCATCATCTCGTGGCGCGGGGACGTCAGCAGGATGCGTGTGGCGGATTTGTTCCAGAATCTGCCGGGCTTCGCAGTACTTGCTCCGCAAGAACCCGAGCATGGTGGGAGGCTGTTTGCTGCTGTCTGTTGTGAAGCGCGCAGACGGTTCCACGGAACCAGAGATTTTACCGTGAAGATTGCAGAAGACGCGAGAAAGGGAAGTTGCAGCGGCCAGCGCTTGATGTGACTACATGAGAACAGCAGAAATCGATAGGACTGCGCAAGAGGGGGGCGTCATGAGATATAGGTAGGGGAGGCTTGGAGTGAATGCTGACCGCTTGTATTGCGGAAGAGAAAGCAGAGACTGCCTGGAGCTTGCAATGTGCGGGTGAGGCAACCAATCATACGCGTGACTCAGTCTCTCCGAGGTGGATCCCGGCATTAGTCGCGTGCAATTGGGCGGTCACTGGCGGGAGAACCGAAAAATCAAAGGCAAGATTATCAGATGAGGATATCAGATGAGAATCCCATCTGATAAGATCCTGTCGTGCTACTCGGATCCCTCGGCATGGTTTATAAGTCCACAGTTACCCCGCTCGACCACGGATTTCTTTCCATTGTCTGTTTTTGTCTATCGTGGCAGTAATCCTCTTCAATAGTCTCTTGTCATCGAAGCCTCATCGACTGTTGTCTCCGACCGTGGGAGGATCAGGTAGCACCCATGCATGACTTGCCGCAGGTGTCAAACCCCTTCGATAATCTGCACCATGCACAGTTGGACACACTGTCAGCCTTCATTTTCATTACAATGTATACAAAATAATATATATTCACACATCTTCAAACAGCTAATCCTCCACGCCACTATCATCTCCACGATTGCACTCAGCAACTCTCCGCCCCACAGCATTTCGCATCCTGCAAAACCTCCAACCGACAGAAACATGAAGCCCGGATCGGAATATCCGCTCCAGCCAGCGCAACATTTTTCGCCGGCTCGATCGCCTTCGCCTCCTCCTGCTTGCCCAACCTGGCCAAGCACTCATGATACCCATGCAACGCCCAGACATTGTTGGGGTGCCGGCGCGGGCGGATCAGCGACTCATCGAGCCCCAGATCGGCGCGGTACGTGCGGGCCGCCTCCTCGACCTCGCCCTGCTCCAGCTTCAGCGCGGCGTACGCGTGCCGCACGGGCTGCATCCACGCCCACGGCTCGCTGTAGGGCAGCCGGTCCTCGAGCTCGATCGCCTCCTGCAGCGCCGCGAAGGCCACCCCGTAGTGGCCGGCGCGGTACTCGATCTCCCCTGTCAGCATGGGGATGCCGACGGCCAGCATATCCAGGGCTTGGCTGTTGTACGCCCGGCGGGTCGCGGGTACCCTTTCGCGGGCGGCGAGGAAGAGGGCCTGTTCGCTCCGGGCGGAGGGGATATCGTTGGTGGCGGCGTGGGCGAGCGCGCGGGCATAGTGTGTGGTGGCGGCGGTGATGGCGTACAAGGCTTGGTCTTCGGGGAGTGGTATCTGCTTGAGTTCCTCCCACATGCCGAACCGGACCATGACGTGCAGCCGGATGGCGACAAAGTGCTCAATCCAGTCGGCCATTGGTGGGGATTGCGTGCGGAGTAGAGTCTCCGGGATGCTGGCTTCCATCCGGGTGACGGCGTCCAGGGCGGTGCGCTTCTGGCCCGCGAACATGGCGGCGTAGACCAGGGAGTGGTAGTCGTGCAGTCGGTAGAAGGTGTAGAAGTTGTTGTGGCCGGCTTTGGCGGCGTAGCGGTCGTCCGCCAGGGTGGACCGGTAGTTGGACCGGATTGAGGCGCGCCAGTCTCCGATCAAAATGTCCAGGTGCGTGGGCATGTGATGCATGTGTCCGGCGTCGGGAACGAGGTCGCGCAGGTGGTCCGCAGCGTAGATGCCTTTCTCGGGGGTCGGAGACATCTCGATGAAGTGGATGTACAGGTGCAACAGGCCGGGGTGGCGGTAAGCCCCTGTTTGCGTGAGGGCGGTTTCGAGCACGGCCTGAACTTCCGTAGTTCGGGCTTTGGGGTTGGCCTTGCCGGTGAAGAGGTCCCAAAGGGCCCAGGGGGTGACATTCATGAGGGCGTCGGCGTAGAGGGTGGCGATGTCCAGGTCGCAGCCGAATTGCTCGTACACTGGCTTCATTGCGTCGGCGTAGGCGCAGTTGACGGTGCTGTAGTCTTCCGGGCTCAAGGGAGTGTCGCGAGGGAACCGCTCGACGAGCGCCCTGCAAAGGCCTTGCTCGAGGGGGGTGGCGTTGCTGGATAGCTCCAGGGCCTTTTGGGATGCTTCGTGGCCGCGCTGGACGCAGGTGTGCAGGTCTTTGCGGTCAAAGCGTTCCCATGCTTTGTTGTAGTTGGGTCCGACGGCATAGGCGAGACCCCAGTAGCCCATAGCAAAGGACGGATCATGCTGGATGGCTTGTTCAAAGCAGTGGACAGCTTCACCGTGGTGGAAGGAGTAGACCCACACGAGGCCGCGGTTGAACCAGACGCGCGCATCTTCGCTGCTGGTGGTGACAGCGCGTGAATGAGTGCCCAGGTCGAAATAGTCGGCGCTGGCGGGGATAGGTCCGCGCGTCATTTCGGAAATTGGAGAGATTCAGAGACTGATAAGTTATTGGTTTGTTGTGAAGTCTGTAAAAGAGGACGATGCATTAAATAGCAGCCAACCCCCACTCGGTTCTGGTAAGGCGCGATAAGGCGGGGCGATAACAACCGCCAAAGACCGACCAGACACCGATCGCATGCAGGCGGCCGATTCACCTTGAGGCCTAGACATAATTCGAACTAGACTTCAGACATAGAACATCAGATAGCGTAATAAGTACTGGCCAAGCACAAATGCAGTCTATATTTAGTGAGTATTCCTTCGCATCTTGTTGGAACTGAAGGTTTTGAGAGGATCCTGACTCGGCGATTGATCGCAATGCCAAGACCTAAAAAGACCAAAGGCCGAGCCCAGCCCACCCACTCCGATTGGTCAATTCCTCTCCTTCCTCCGGATCTCTCGATGTGTTTTTTCTTATCGGGTCGCCGTTCAGATGGGTTCATCTCTGGATTTCCCGAGTGCTTCCCCGCGTTGGTTACCAGTTCAACTGGCACTTTGTTCACCTCAGCTGATTATACACTGATCTTCATCCCTCACTCTCCCTTCCAATTTACACCCTGTCACCTCACCCCTCTCCACTACACCGCCACAGAAATGACCCCCCCAACAACCCGACAATGGCTCGCATCCCTCCTCGAACCCGGCCAAATCCTGTCCATGGCCATGAAGAGTACGTCTGCGTCTTCCCCTTCTTATTTCAACCTCACTAACCACCCCAGGCTACATAATCGTATGCCTGGAGGCCATCCTCGAAGGCCGCATCCTAGCCCCTCTCCTCGAGACCCAGCGTCTGCGCGACGAAGCCTTCGGCCGGTTCTGGGTAGCGTTCAGCGGTACCTTGCCCTCATTCCTTAATCTCGTCATGTATGCATACTAAGCCATCAACAGCACCACCCCAACCCACCCAACCCACCACACAACCAGAGCCAAACCAGCAACAACATTCGCAACCCTCAAACCAGGAACACCACGACGACACGCCAGCAGAAATCCAAGGCTCCGCCGACCTCATCCCGCCCCTGCTCGCCACCGCGCGCGGCATCACCCTCGACCTCGGCCCCGGCACCGGCACGCAGATGCCCCACCTGCGCTCGCCGGCCATCACCGCCCTCTACGGCGTCGAACCCTGCCATCACCTGCACGCGACCCTGCGCGCCCGCGCGGAGGCGGAGGGCGTCGGGGAGAAGTACACGGTTCTCGGGTGTAGTGCTGCGCCGGAGCAGTTGGGTCCCGTGTTGCGGGAGCGGGGTTTGGTGGATGGAAGTGGGGCGGGACGGGTCGATACCATCCTCTGCGTGCGGGTGCTGTGCTCGGTGCCGGACTTGGGGGGGACGGTGCGCGGGCTGTATTCGTTGCTCAAGCCGGGTGGGCGGGTCATTGTGGTCGAGCATGTGGTTAATTCGGGGTTTCGGGGGTTCGGGGGGAGGAAAGGTGAGGGGAAAGATGAGAGGGCAGGGTCCGTCGTGGCTAGGGTCGTGCAGGGAGTGTATGAGTTGTTGGGGTGGCGGTGGTTTGTTGGGGATTGTTGTTTGACCAGGGATACGGAGGGGGCGTTGAGGGGCGCGGCTGCGGAGGATGGCGGGTGGGGCAGGGTCGAGCTGCGGAGGTATTTTGGGGAGGGGGTTATGCCGTATATTGCTGGGGTGTTAGTCAAGAAGGGGGAGGGAGAGGGGGAGAACGAAGGGACGGTGGATGAGGGGTTGCGGAGGAGGTAAAGATGTTTAATGTCTAAGGTGCAGACTCATGCTGGCATACAGCTGTTAGGTTAGGTCAAGTGGGAAGAATGAGGGTTAGCCTCACTGCTGGTGACGTGGTCTAGAGGAGGCCTGAACATTGTCGACCTCGACCAGAGGAAGTATTACTTGTCTGTCCACTGACTGGAGTCACCTCTCCCATATATCTACGCACATGAAAGCTATCAACAGACATAATTGCATTTCATATACCGCCAGCTAATCCAAGCCCCCGAACAAGCCACAGCAAACTATATACATACCAACTCGAAACCTAGTTTCCACCACACCTACTCACTCGGCTCACTAAACACGGTGCTAAACGCCGCCGGCGTCTCAAACACGGGCTTCCCCCCGCTCACCCCCAACGGCTGCACCATCGTATACCGCGTATCATCGCACGCCCCGGCACTGCTGTTCGACGCGTGGTACGCAATCCACGTCTCTGTAGCATCGGGGCTCTGGAAGAAGCTGTTGTGGCCGGTACCGTAGTTGCCGTTGGCCGAGGACAGCGCACAGCTATCGCCCTTGGTCCAGGCGCTGCGGGAGGTGGGATCGGTCGTGCCGTCCCAGGTCAACAGGGCGACGCAGTAGTACGGGGTCCAGCAGTACGAGGCCGAGTAGGCCAGGTAGGTGGTTCCGGAGATATAGAGGGCGGCGGGCCCCTCGTTAACGGGGGTGCCGTGGGTCTCGAAGCTCTCGGTCGGCTCGGAAATGACGCTGATGCTGCCGGTGAGGCTGACATAGTCGTCGCCCAGTTTCTGGATGCAGAGGGATTGGTAGGTCACGCCGTGGAAGCAGGAGAAGACGAGGTAGTTGCCGTAGGCGTTGGTGCGGAGGACGGTCGCGTCGATGGACCATTCGGTCGTCAGCTGGCCGGTGTATGTGTACTCGTCCCAGGGGGTGGAACCACCTGCGGTTACTGTTAGTGGGGGGTTTTAGGGGAGGAGCGGTGGGCTGCCTACCGGTGAGGACGTGGAGACGCTGGCCGTCCAGGTCGGTCGTCTCCCCTGCGGTGTAGTAGATGTACCACTTGCCACCCAGGTAGTGGACCTCCGGAGCCCAGACGTTGCAGCAGCGGCCGGCGGTGGAGGTGGAGTAGACGACCTTCTTTTCGGCGGACTTGAGGCCGTCGATGGTGGTGGCCCGGCTGATCTCGAGGTCCGTCCAGGTGGTGGTCATTAGATAGTAGTATCCACCGGTGTACACCAAAAAGGGGTCGGAGCCCCCGGGGTTACGGATCGGGTTTGTATAGGCCCCAGCTGTAGGCAGGAGGGCCCACAACCCGAGCAGGGCCGTCAACAGGCGGGTGATTATCGATTGAAGCTGCATTATGGTCGGTTGGAGTCTGCCGCTACGACTTTTTTGTTCACGACTATTGCAGCTGTTTATATAGACAACATCGTGGTCGCCAAGATTCACCCCACGGGGATTCAGTTGCCATGATGTCCATCGTCGATGTCTCCCACCGGAGAGATGCCCTTCGTAGTATAATGTTGATCGGATGCTGAATGCGGGGGGGTTTATTCACGGCAGTGCCGGGGCTTGGCAAAGGGTAATTCCACCACTCCCGCTGCCATGCCGAGCCTGCTTGTAGGCAGTCCAAGATAGTCGGCTAATTCTGAGGAGTCAACTAACCACATTGAAGTAGGCGCGGGGATATTCACATATGCATCATCAGCCGCTAGTCTTCAGTGTCGCATATGCTATGACGTTCTGCATCAGAGCGTCGAGCATCACTGCCTTGGATGGTGAGCATCATATGAGTAGAATGCACCCTGACCCAGATGATATCGATCATACCATATCAATTCAGGCAGGATTTTTCCAACCACTCTCTAGTCGGCCTCAAATCAGATGTTAGGTTAAGTATGCAAGTAGCGTTATTCGAGTTTAAGATGCACAAAACGGTCAATGGCTGTCCGTATCCGGTGTAGATGATCCGGTCGTGGGAGGGTGTCGATATATTTCCACCCGCAGTCCAGCACATTCACGAGGAGAGGACATCTGAAAGTGATTTCTCAAAATTATTGCCTTATCTCCTGAGGCCAATTCTGTAGTACAGTCAAACAACACTGGATTCCATCTACATGTTATTGTGCCAAGTCGTCAATAGGAAGTAAAGAATTATGTGTAGCACAGTTGCACAGAACAATGTCTCAGCCTAGAGCCTGGAGCCTCGAAGAAATTCCCTAAAAGAGAGCCGGACTCAGGGTCGGGAAGTGCAAAGCCGACCGGAGCCGGATCGGACCCTTTCAGGACGTCTCAGATACGCTAGGCCCGATCCAGCACGCATCGTCCAATTCCATGGAAACAGTGAGCCACGCCGATCCTTACGCTTTTTATGACAGCGGCTGCAAAAATGACAAACAACTCCACTGCCCACTCACTAACCGATTCCGTGCTAGTTAGTCGACTGGCAAATAGCGCCACTCTACTGAGCACTACCGCCACGCACAAGTGCTTTATGCAATATTCATTCGTACAGAGCAGGAAAGAGTAGGCTTTAGTAAAGGGTTAAGACTATCTCATTAACCAACCTATCGACATGTCCTGAACTCATTAACAAACATTAAGTCTATCTAATATTACGCAAATTCTATCCGCGCTGCGAACGAGTGACCTGCGCCCGCACTCCGCAGGGAGAAAAATGCTGGCGACCGAAAACAGCATCGAGCAATCTATCCGATCTTCTGGAGATGGCTCACTGAAATGCAGCAAAGCAGGTGCTGTTGGCCTGGCTCTCCTGCCAGCCAATGCACTTCCAGCAGCTCAACAACCCCGAGGGATCGTACTTGTGCTTGATGGCCAGCAGCTTGTCGTAGTTCTCCGTGCCCCACCAGGCCTCGCGCCAGTCCTCGGTGAACGGGTTGGCCTCGTTGCTGTAGGCGCCGCTGCCGGGCGTGATGCGCTCCAGCGTGGCCGTCATGTTCTGCAGGGTGGCGATCTTGGCCTCGCGCGTCGCGAGCGTGCTGTTCCACGCCCACGCGCTGCCGGAGCCCAGCTCCCACACGGCCTGGCGCCAGGCCGGCGTCGCGCTCGTCGACCCCTCCGTGTAGTTGTACAGCACCGGGCCCACCACGGGGATGTAGGGGGTCTGCCCGTTCTGCTGGATCAGCTTGAAGAAGTCCATCAGGTTCTCGCGGCCCTCGGCCGTCTCGAACACCGCGCGCGGCACGAGACGGCTGCCCGCGAAGTGCGTCACGCCCACGCTGACGGCCTCCGAGGTCACGTACTTGGTGTAGAAGTCGTACCACGAGGCGAAGTGCTCGACCACGGCCGAACCGCCCTGGGCCTTGGCGTAGGCGATCACCGAGGCGAGCGATCGCTGGGCCTGCGCCACGGTCATCAAGGGAGAGACGTTGATCAGGGTGCTGCCGGTGATGTGGCCGCCCCAACCTTCCTCGGCCCAGCGCAGGGTGTTGTTGACGATGATGTCCATCCAGGGGAGCACGTTGGTCGAGTTGCTGGTGAACTTGACGACGGCCGCCGTGAACCCGAAGCGCGGCTCCACGCGGTGGGTGCTCTCGAGCACCACACCAAAGGTACCACCACCGCCGCCACGGAGGGCCCAGAAGAGGTCCTGGTTCTGGCACTCGTTGGCAATGCGCAGGTTGCCGTCGGGGGTCACGACCCTGTACTGCACGACGCGGTCGACACCCAGACCGTAGACGGGGGAGAGCACGGAGTGGCCGCCCATCTGCACCCAGCCGCCAGACAGACCGACCGTGGGGGAGTACCCACCCAGAATGGTGACGTTGTGGTCATGGGCGAAGGCGTAGGCCTCGTCGAAGTTGACACCGGCACCGGCCGTGATGGCGTTGTAGGTAGTGTTGGCGGGGCAGCCCTTGGGAACGAAGGTCGCCTGATAGCTCATGTCCTGCAGGTTACGGGTCCACAGCTGCAGAGTGCCCTTGCCACTGCTCCGGCCCAGGTAGTCGTGGCCGCTGTTCTTGATGGCGACGCGCACGCCGGAGCAGCGCGAGTACTCGAGGGCGGCGCTCACGTCGGTGGCATCGTGGACCTCGAGGTAGTAGGAGGGCATGTTGCCCTGGCGGCAGTCGGTGCCATTGAAGGCCAGCGGGTCGGTGGGGTCGCTGCTGTCCAGCACGCACTGATCCTGGGGGTTGGACGAGCACATCTCATCCTGGTAGTTCATGTACCCATTGGGGGTGTTGGTGCGGAGGTAGGGGTCGCTGTAGTTGGCCTGGATGGTGGCGCAGGCGGCATCGTTGGGGGTGACGGGCTGGCCATTGTAGCTGGAGAAGCAGGGCAGGGAGAAGGGCGTGAGAGGCTGGACACGACCGCCGACAGTCGTGTTCAACGCACTCAGGCTGCAATTGCTGCAGCTCGCAGAGGCCAGCCCCAAAAATTGGACGGCCAATGCGGCATACGACATCTTGTACCCCGAAGACGCCATCTTTTTTTTGTTGACTGCCACGCGAGAATGAGACAATCGAATCGAGAATGAAGATGGGGAATGGCTTGGGTTGAGGGAGAAAAAAATTGGGCAATCCCCCCGACGATCCCGCGTCAATTTATTTCTCAGAAAGGGACCAAACTGCACGGCAATGCAAGGCAAGAAAAAAAACGAAAGTCGGGTAACGGCACGTTCCGCACGAGGCCTGGCTGGTCAGTGTTTCTCCCGATCGCGTAGGATGGCGCAGGCTATTGAATTGCACGACTCAGGAAGTGGAGGAATACTGGAGACTGGTATGGATGAGGATTGTTGTAATAGAATCCGACATCCGACTGGGTTCGAGGCTGCTGAGGGAGCCAGAGGCCGTGAGCAGAGAGAAACAGGGAGGCACCAGGAGATGCTAGACTGGACCCACCACCTCAGGACGATGACCCACAGTGAAGTCCACCGACTTCTAGTCTTGCCTGTCTTCTCCAGCGGGTTTGTTTAAGGTTTCGAACGATGATTCGTGGCGTGGGCTTCGTTGGGCGCCACCACGCTTAACTGTCTTTAGGGCTCGGCCGTCCTCCGAAAAGGCCAGTCTCCGCAATCGACTGATATAGCCACTATACTAGACTGCCTCTATAGCCTCGGACTTGCATGCCTTTGCAGTCAAGTGGAAATCCTGCCAGCCAACCGGTGTCTCAGATAGATCATCCCATGCACACAGCTTCCCACTTGTCGCCCTGGTGCGATGGTTCCTGCATGGAAAGCTCGCTTTCTTTCCCCCCTGAAAGGCACCGCATCCCTGTCTAGCCACGACTGCCACGACTGCCACGCGATCATTCCACCCCTTCTAGACTGCGATGCTGCATGACGATCTTAAGCATCCCCAGACTCTATAAGAATCACGTTCCTGGGGATGGAAGAATCGTGCGGATCAGCACTGTAAAACTAAACGAGACTGGGGAAACCCAGAGCTCCAGGGCAGCACGGCTTGATCAACCACCTCAAAACACGGTTCAGGGCTCGTAGAAGACAGAAAATACTAACCTCCGCCCTGGAGGAACTCCCACGAGCTTAATGCAGCGACAGCCATGGAAAGGAATCCAATAGTTGAAGATTAGAGAGCCCATTCGGACCCTCCCTTGCGAGCGGTGCGTGGCCCAAAGGAAATCCATGACAAATCAGCGTGCATTTTCCACTCCCCTTCCCTCCCTCCCTCTCATCCTCCGGTCGGAGATTCGCCTTTTTGTGCCAGAAACCAAACAGTCAAAGACCCAAACCTGTCTGTTAAGGTTTGGTGGCGACGCCAGCACAATTCTAATAATCTAAGAATATTAATTAAGGCCACCGAGCGATCCTCAAAGGGGAACAGCCCGATTCACTTTAAACTTCCCCTTCGCCAAAAATCTCCCACGAATTTCCTTACATGGAACTGCGCTGTGCCCTGGTGTCGTCCATCATCTCGAAGGGCTGACTCGCATAGTTTGGCAACGCAGAATGACTTGGGAAGAGAACAGATACTGGAAAAATGCGTTGACCATCGTCCCCATCGTGGGAGCTGCCTTCGCGACTATCACCTATGCCCTGCGCCTGTACTCGCGGCGGTATACTACCGCTGGGTTGAAGTTGGAGGACTGGCTGATGGGCGTCGGATTGATTCTGTCTTACTGCGCAACTGCCTTCGTGGTGGATAGTGAGTTTTTCCTGTGTGTTCTGAGGGAGTCTTGGAATGAAATGCTGATACGGTGGATTTTGCAGCTGCCTTCAATGGGGTTGGAATCCCTGTTGCGTCCCTCCCTCCCAAGGAGCGTCATCGGATTCAATTTGTATGTTCATGAGCCAGCATGCCACAATCCTTGTTGACTCCTTTTCTAACCGACGCACCCACAGGGATCATGGATGATTCAGAAATTCTGGGCGCCGTCCGCCGCGTTCATCAAGATCAGCATCGTCGTGTTTCTGCGACGCTTGCTCGGCACTCTGCGCACCTACACCATCGTCTCCAACGGGTTGATTATCTTCATCGCCTGCTGGGCCGTGACGGCCTTGCTGGTGAATATCTTCCAGTGCATTCCGGTCCAGTACTACTACGACAAAACGTTGAACGGTCACTGCATGGCGGGCCAGCGGGCGTTCTTCCAGGCCATGGGCTCGATCGCCCTCGTCGAGGATGTGATCATCCTGTTCCTTCCTGCGCCGGTGGTCTGGGGCCTTCAAATCACCACGCGACAGAAGATCGCCTTGACCATGGTCTTTTCCTTGGGTGGATTGTGAGTTCACTTTCACTGGGCGAGGGAACCTCCAACTAATCGTGCTTAGGGTCTGTATCTTCAGCTTGATGCGACTGATTGAATTCCGCAAGTTCATCACCACCGATCTTGCCTGTGAGCCAAACCCCCACCCTATATGCCTGGCTTTATGTTCCAAAGAAAAGTTCTAATTCCGCACAGCATCGAGTGCCAAAGAATCCCTCTGGACCTGCCTGGAACTCGACATCGCGATCATCTGCGGCTGCCTGCCGCTGCTGAAGCCCCTGGTGCAGGGCTTCCTGGGCAAGGTCAAGTCCGGGGTGTCGAAGGGCCGGTCGCACCCTTCCTCCGGCACGAAGCTGTACGGCTACCCGACGAGCAACACCCACCACGACGGGTTCCTGCAGATCAACGAGCTGCACGGGTCGCAACTCTCCAAGGGGGCGAACGTGGCCGCCAGCGCCAGTCGCAATAGCTCGGACGTGGAATTGCAGGGCATTGCGGTGCACACCGTCATCGAGCAGGACGTGGATGACCATCCGCAGCTGTCCTCGTCGGAGACGGTGTCGAACCACGGGTGGCCGCGATGAGCGCCGCCCACCCTCACCCTCACTCTCCATGACGCGCGCGCGATCATGCGAAACAGCAATTTCCTGTGCTGGTATCTGGGGTCTGGACCGTATCAGATGATGTGCCTGTGCTCAGCCCGTCATTTCCGCCCAGAACCACCACCACCAGTTGGTGGACACTGCTCACCCCCCGAGAGTGTCCACATCCACTCCTTCACTTTATGAACATCACCCTTCCCTAGCATCCAATTTTAATGTCAATGATACCCCTTTAGAATCTTACTTCTCTTCTACCGTTCCGTGTCTTGTGATCCTTCAATCCTTCGTAAAATTAATCTGGCACAATCCTATACAATCCAAATCTGCACTATGCGACACAAGGATCCGAGGGTAAAAAAGCTAATCAAAACCCCAAGCCGCCGCTAGTCTCACCCCAAAAGATTTTTTTTTTTTTTTTTTTGTGAAGGTGCTCATGATGTCACAGCACAGCGATCCCGGCATCCCCCGGGAGCAGAACAAAGAGGAGGGTTCTCCAGCCTCTCGTAGGGTGCCGTTCCACGGTTCATAAGTCCGTGGTCAGACCAGAGTCTATTGTGGCAGGCAGCCATGGATCGGGGGATTGTCCGGGGAAGAGTTCTCTCCCGGTGGGGCGGTGGTTTCATGCCGCAACAGGTTGGGACATTTCGTGTCGGGTCTCTTACATGCTGAGCCGTGGGATGGGCTGTTTGAGGGAGTGTTGATCGGAGGTCTTTGGATAGCTGACGCTGTTGCCCTGCAGTCTGAATATATAGACATTCTTCAAGGTGAAATAATGGACATAGTGAACTGATTTTGTTGCATGAGACCAGCGACCGGAGCAGCTCAATTGGGATAAGATCGGCATGCCGAGGAGCTGGATTCTTGGTTCCGATTTATGCCCGAGCCGACGGGATCCACCCGCACTCAAAGAGAAATAAGGATCTCCAACACCTGGAACCTGACTGTGTTGTGCGAGGGAGGCCTCAGGCTGCTTGGGTGATGTGCCTTCTGGAAGGAGCACATAGTCTAATATACACCCTGACGCAGACTAGTATCCTGACGAAAAAGCAAATCAGGAGTTCACTTTTCTTTACTACTATACTGTAGTCGACTCAACAGAAGCAAGGCTATACCAATCCGCCAACTGGCAGCATTTTAACGTGGTTGGCTCAGTACTCCGGGGAAGACATTAGATTGTGATATGTAAGTCAGCATATATCTATGGTCAATAGTTGACTTCACACACTTTGGTATCCTAGCCATTGTCACGGGCTGTCAGGTGTAGGTCTACAACTTCTAGCTTCCGTGGTGGTTGTGTCAGATTGAGAGATAGCTCCATGCTTGTTAATTCACTCGCGTCCCTTGCAAAAAAAGTGATGGTCCGGGAATTCCAATGCTCGGACTCGTGCAAGACTCACGTACTCGCTTATGTTTCACCCGGTCTTCCCAATTGCAGTTCATTCACCCTCGCAGTTACCAGATCGGTCAGTAGGTCATACCCGTATCGTTCCGCGACCTCGTTCGCGACACGCTGGAGTTCTCGAATTGAACCCTCGTCGTCAGAGCACCCAAAGGGGTACTGACCCATCAGCAATTCGACCATATAGTCATGGCCTGCCTCACAGGCTGAGTCAATGGCTCGGAGTATATGATCCTCTTTGATTCTGGCAGAGACTGCATCTTTCTCCAGGAGCAACCGCACGATTTCCACTTGGCCATGATCTGCCGCATGTCGAAGCGGAGGATACTCGCAGCAGCTATACTCATCCGAGTACGGGTCCGCCCCCTTTTCAAGGAGCAGCTTGACCAATGCCATGTTGTGCTGGCTGATGGCTTCCATCAGCGGCGACGACTCCTGGCCTTCCTCGATCATCGCACCCCTCTCCAGCAACAGCAACACCGACGATTCATCGCCTCTCTCGGCAGCATAGCTGATTGGCGTCCGTCCGTTCAGATCCGCGTCATTTGGATCGGCTCCTGCATCTAAGAGCAGGGTCACGACCGATGCGCCCGATGCACAGAGAAGCGCCGTCATGTCTTCCTCATTCTTCCTGTTGACGTTGACGTTCTTGCCCAACAGGATGCGCACTACCTCGGAGTGGTCTTTCTCGGCCGCCAGCATGAGCGGAGTCCAACCATCCTCATCCACGGGATCGGATTCAGCACCCGCGTCTAGTAGGGCTTTTACAACATTCACCAAACCATAGCTTGCCGCCCACGCGAGGGCAGTCATACCGCGTTCATCCTGTTGATCCACATCCGCTCCCTGCTCCACCAGCAAGAGTGCATCCTCCTCGCGCTCGTTTCGGATGGCCCAGATCAAGATCTCGCTGTCTTGGGGATCGTTCAGATCAACGCCAGGCGTGACGGTCCTGTACAATGCCCGCAAGTCGGCCAGCCTCGCAGCGGGTGAACGTGCAGCCAACTCATCATTGATCTCTTGGATCGACTTCCCGCGAAGGAGCCGAACAACACCATCATGTCCTGCCTCAAACGCCGCCTCGAACGGCGTTTGACCGTCGCTGTCCTGGACCTCCGAGCATGCATGTCTTTCCAGGAGCGATTTGACAATGTCCGCATGTCCTCTCCGTGCAGCCCACGCCATCGGCGTCCGCTGACATTCGTCCCGCACGTCGACCGCGGCATTGTACTCCAGCAAGACCCGGAAAATACCCTCGTAGCCCCGTCTGGCCGACCAGGACAACGCCGTCCCGCCGTAGCGCCAGTCCCGCGCGTCCGGATCCGCGCCGGCCTGCAGCAGCATCCTAACCAGCGCCTCCGAGCATCCCCTCTGCGCCGCTGCGATGAGCGGCGATTGTCCCTGAAAGTCAGCCAGGTCGACACGGGCTTCCGCGTTCAGCAGCAGCTTGACAGTCTCCTCGTCTCTGTTGGCGATGGCGTGCAACAAGGGCGTCCGACCGCCCGCATCGGGGGCGTCGGGGTCGGCGTTGTGTTGTAGGAGGAGTCGCACCGTATCGCCATGAGCATTGGCCACGGCCCACGCCAGACAGCTCCGTCCGTACTCCGTGTCACAAGCATTGACCTCGTCGCTGTTTCTGAGAAGTGGTTCGAGGTCGACGGTTCGTCCGCTCGCGGCGGCGAGGAGGATCGGCGCCTCCCATGGACAGAGGGCGTCGGGCATTTTGGGTCTTTTATGAGGAAATCTAGGGGTAGAGGTGATGGTGTCTGGATATGCTCGAGGAAGGTAAAGGTAGAGGGGTGTATATCTGTTGTCTGTAGAACCGTTCATGGTGGCAGATGCCAATGCTTGGCGCAGAAAATGATCCAAGGAACGGTGAGTAGATAGCAGGCACAGTCAGTCGATAGACGTATACATCCTACAGTCTAGATTCTAGGCAACTGAGACATCTATACTCCCTGCCTAGGTTGAATGCGCTTGGGCCAAGAGTTTGGCTCCACAGCGCACGCGTGTGGTGCTGCTTACTGGTCTAGGTGGTCAAATGTCAAACCATAATGTATTACCACCGGTGGCCAATCTATGAACCTCACGGGCCCCGGTTCGGACGAACCATTACTGCTAGGCTTACATCAAACCTTCGATGGCCCGTACTCTCTTCTAGACGGGGACTGGGCGCCTGATCTCAGTCGCCAAAGACTCAATCGGGCACGCGATATGAGACTGAAACTTCCTGAATATATTCTGAATCAGCAACCAGGGATCCATGTATAATCCATACCAGCATCAAACACAATCCGTACAACATAAGCCAACCCTAACCCCTCACCCCAACATCCCCCCCCTCCAGCGCCCCCAACTCCTCAAACGACTCCCCGGCGCCATTCCCCAGCTTCCTCCTCATCCTCTCCTCCCGCTTCCGCTCCTTCCTCTCCCGCTTCAAAGCCTTCTTCTCCCTCCGACTCAGCCGCGGAAACTCCGACCCCTCCCCGCGGAGCACCTGCCCGGGATGCACGACATTCAACCCCACCAGCGCGACGAACATGGGCACCGCATCGAACACATACTCGTACCACTCGTGCGTCAGCACGGGGTTGTTGACGTCCGAGCCCCGCGCGTACTGCGCCAGCCGGAACACGATCCGCACCGTGATCAGCCCCAGCGCCAGGTACATCGCGGCCAGCAGTTTCTTCCACGTCGGTCGGAACGGTCCTCCGGCCGCGCGGTGGACGCGCTCCGCGTCCAGGGTGCCGGCGCGCTCCATGGCGAGCAGCTTCCGGTGCAGGTGGATGGTTAGTCCTGTGAAGATCAGCACGAAGAACTCCTGCATCCCGATCCCGCCCATGTAGATGTGCAGGCCCCGCATTATCGTGCTTTGCGGTTGGTCCTCGCCTGTCGTCATGGAGGCACCCGCGAGTTGGACGAGGAAGGCGACGATGTCGAGCCAGACGAAGAGGCGCGCGTAGTGGGTCGAGGTGAGGTGGGCGAGGCGGCGGGTTGGGAGGAAGAAGTGGATGAGTCGGCCTAGGGTCATGTAGAGGTAGGCGTTGATCCCTTTGGCGTTGCTCGGTTAGTGGATGGGACTGGGTGGATGGTGGGGCTATGGTTGGGAGGGGTATAGCTGAGAGGGAGTGGTATAGAGAGGGCAGTGCTTGCTCACAGATCGGTGCCAGCAGAAAGAAGATCGTGTACAGCGTGTCGTAGATGTCGCTGTTTTGTTTACGCGTGAGGAGGGCGCGGAAGATGAAGGCTAGGAGCTCCCAAAGAGCGCCCATAATCACTACCCAGGCGTACCTCTGCGTGTTGTTAGCATGGTGGCTGGGCGAAGGCAGGAATCAGCGGGGAGCAGGGAGGCCACCTTCTTGTAGATAACCGCTTGTACGAGGTGGCAGATGGTGGTGAAGCCGAACAAGACACCGAAGAGTACGGCGGCTGCAAACGACGGCACGTACATCAGGACTGCATCGCAGGCTTCAGGCGGCAGATAGCCGTTTTTGCCAGGCTGGGGATGGGTGCATGTCTCGGTGGTTGTCGCCGAGGTTAGGGCACTGGTGGCCGTGGCCATGGATGTGGTTGTGCTCATTGATGTGCTAATGGTTAATTGCTTGACTACTCTCTCCTCTACGACTATTGCCTCTTATATATGACCTGTTTTCTTCCAGGTTTAGCCAGGATGAGGCTCATCCAGGCAGCCTTGATCCTTTGTTGCAAATATAGATGTTGCATGCAGCCCGATCTCAGGGCGGCGATCCTGGGAGTGGGAGTGAGTATGCCTTCATTGGCTGGCTCGCATGCGCTAGCCCTATCTGGGACTAGTGTGGTGGCTGCCTGGACCCTCAGGCCAATGTTCGATTGATAGACGCTCGGGCCAATCACACCGACCGTTGTGTGAAGCTGACGTGCTGTCGGAGTTCAGGCTGCTGGATTTGATGCTGCGGCTATGCACGAGATTTTTACTCGATTTGCACACACTCCCGGCATCTTGCTCCTCTGGTAATGTGGTAGCCTGAAGTGTCAGACTTGACCGGGGTCCAGTGTTGGTGGGGGTTGACTACTGATTTGACAGCCACCTCCTACAACTTCAGGATACAAACACGTTTACAGTTAACTAGTTTCTTTCAGAAACACCCCCATTATGTGATTATGCATGCTTGAAGAACCGGTGAGCATCATCAAGTCTGGGACCGGTAGTCGAGAGGCATCCCGAAAAAATTAATGTTTTTATGTGATGTTTTCTCTAACTACCTGGTATACTAAACTTCAATTAAGTCAGACCTCAGACCTTCCAGAGCTTGCTCCACTACAGCCCATCTTTAAAACAGCCTCTCGCTTGAGTTCATTCTCCTCGAGACTACCACCATCTCCAAACATCTCGTCGATCTGCTCCAGCGTCTTCCCGCTCGTCTCGGGCACGAGCAAGAACGCCCACACCCCCGCAAGAACACAAAATGCCGCAAAGAAGATATAGGTCCCGTACGTGATGTTCGATATCATCGCCGGTGTCACGATCCCCACCACGAAGTTCGATAGCCAGTTGACACAGGTCGACAGCGCAACGCCCTTGGACCGCAGGGCCGTCGGGAAGACCTCGGACGGCAGAGCCCAGCCAAGGGGCGAGTAGGTGTTTCCATAGATGAGCATGAACAGGAAGGCCATCGCCACGCAGGCCCACCCCGCCGACTCGTTGGACCAGCCCGGCCCATAGACCGCCGTCAGGGCCGCGATGATAATATAGCAGACGCCCATGCCAAAGCCCCCGAAGATCGCCAGCGGCCGCCGACCGATCCTATCGATGGTCACGAAACAGACCAGCACGGTGACGAGCTGCAGACAATTGAAGACCCCGGATAGGATCAATGACATCTCGCCGGTCTGGCCGAGGGTCGTCATGAGCGTCGGGGCGTAGTATACAAAAGCGTTGACTCCGCTGAACTGTTGGAAAAATCCTGCTCCGATGCCGACGGCGGTGCGTTTCCAGGTGCGCCGGCTGAACAAGCTCATCCATAGGGCCGCTTCTCGCTTGAAGCCGGTGACCCCGGGACGCAGGCGTTCTTCGGTGAGCTTCTGGATCCGAATCTCCGTCATGATAGCTTGGAACTCCGCCTGGGCCTTCGTGTCGGTCGTGGGCAGGCCGCGTAATTTACTGATACTCTTCAGGCAGTCGTCGGGACGGTCCACCAGAGCCAGCCACCGCGGGGAGTAGGGGAAGAAATGGATGCCAACTCCGAGCAGCGTGGCGCTGACCATCTGCAGTCCAAAGGGGACACGGAACGATGCCTCGCTGTCCACCAGTCTCATTCCGAATGTGATCCAATACGCAATAACTGAGCCCGAAACGAGGCAGATGGATTCTAGCACCAACAGGGTTCCTCGTAGGTTTGGCGGCGAGATCTCTGAGATATACAGCGGTGCGCCCTGAGTGGCCAGACTGAGTTAGCAATCAGATGTATAGGGTACTAAGATTCTCATCAAGTACGTACCATGGCTAGCGTACCAACTCCAATCCCACCAATAGCTCTCCCAGCGACTAACATCCCGTAGCTCTGGGCGGACGTCTGGATGATCGCCCCGATGTCAAAAATCACCACGACGACTGTCAACGCCCACTTGCGGGAGATCTTATCCGCCAGGTACGGCATGAAGATACAGCCCACAAAGGCGCCGAGGAGCAGCATGCCGGTCATAAAGCCCTTACCGAACTCGCTCGCTGATCCCGGAATGGCTGCGTGGAATTGCGGCATGACGTTGATCACCGAGATGACACCTTGGTCATACCCGAAGCTGAAACCGCCGAGTGACGCCAGAAATGCGGCCCCTAGAACGTAGCCTGAGCTGAAGAGCCCTCGGATGCCGTCCGGGCCGTAGGAGGGTTCCTCCACGGTGAGGGCGTCGACATCAAGGATCGTGCCCTGTTCATCGTGCTCCACCGTTGTGGAGTCGTCTCCCTTGGCTCGTGGCTGCATTGGGTTCTTTGATTGATAATTCATGCCGGTCGAAATAGTGGCCTGATTTCATCTCGGAGGTTGAAGAGGGCAGGAACATGGTTACTTTAAGTAACCCCGTGGGGGTGGGGGGAACCATTTCGTATCTTGCTGGGGTTACCCCGGACCTGCCCGAGATTCTCCAGAAGGGCTACCATTAATCCCTGCCACGCCAATCAGATATGCAGACCCGTAGTCGGGCTCAATGACAATATCGACACGGCCCGTCGGACATCTCACTTGGGCGCTGACATCGGGCTACTGCGCGTGGGGGTTAGCCCCGTCCTCCGTTCAGTTTGGGGGGCATACTGTGCATACTGGAAGATTCTTGATCCGACTGGAGGATCCCTACTCCGACTAGCAGCCGGGTGACCGGAGTATGGATCTATGTTCTACAGGGCAAATAGATGGGCGCGAATGCACCTATCACGAGCAATGATAGTTGCAGCCACGTCATCTGCGTCATATAGCCTACGAGAGGCTTTGTGGATGCTCAAAGATAAATCCTGACAGAAGGCCTTATCACCTAGTAGTACACGGCATGTTAGCAGCTTATTCCACCCGTGTCAACCTGTTTGGAAGCATCGAGATGTCGTTTCCCTTGCCTCACCGCTGTGGCCAACAAAGAGGTTAGAGTTTCGTCTGCTGCTCCATCCTTTCCTATCGGGACAGGCAAAATACAGGATTGGCACGGCTTTCGTATTCACCATATGCCGTTGTCACTCGAAGCCTGGCAGAGACCAGACAAATGACCTGGGACGCACGAGGAAATGACGTTTGCCTTGCCTCGGGTGGGATTTATGGAGTCTCTGATTGTCATTGAGGGGCTCGCCTGTGAGAAAATATACATCTGCTCCTCCGGAGTATTGCAAAGTCGATCTAAACCACGGGCAGGCTTGTGTTCTATGCCCAAATGACATCGGATCGGAGCAATCTGATATCGGAGATAATGAAGTGATGGGGTCCCATCGCCCGATGCACGTGACCATCGGAGATTAGGGCACGCATGGCTCTCTCCTCATTCAATCAAGCAAGAAATACAATAGGGAGGGAATGGATGGAACATTATACTAGATATCAGATTAGCTTAGTTGTGCAAATTGAATCTGTCTCGCTCGTATGACTCCTGTTTGATACACGATGCATTACAAACTTTTATTATCGGGCGACCGAGCCGACTTCACCACGCTCGCACTCGATCTCGACAAGAAGAAGCTGAGCATCCTCGCAAACTACGCCGCCCCTTACAATGCTTCCTGGGTCGAGCCCGTGTCTTCGCAAGGCAGCGTTGACCAATTACTCGGGCTATCCGAGGACGATGACGCCGGCTTGCTTTACAGCTTCGAAGTTGATCATGCACACAAGGCTTGCAAAATCACCAGCCAGCAGCCGACCCTGGGAGCGCCGGGTCACTGTGAGTCTTGCCCCATGCTGCAATGTTTCTTTCTAGAAACAATACTGATGTTAACCGCACTCGGGTGTAGTCCTTACACTGCGCGATAAATCTGCACTGGCGCTGGCGACGGTTCGTCTATCCCACCCCCTTCGCTTTCGCATTTGTCAGAACGGATACTCATACACATACCGTATCCAGTATCTAGGAGGTTCCATTGCTCTCTACCCCATCTCAGTCACCAAGTCCGGCACGGTACTGCTCGACGACGTCCCCCGAGCCGAGATCATCCCAAATTTCCCCTACCGGGACGCGGGACACGGCCCGAACCAAGGCCGACAGCGACAATGCCATGTTCATCAGATCCTTGAAGACCAACGCGGGTTACTATACGCTCCAGACCTGGGATCCGACCGAGTGTGGCTCCTCCGGCGCGAGGGGGTGCAGAAGCTGGACATCTGCGGCTGGCTGCAGTGTCCCCCGGGAACAGGGGCTCGGCATGCCGTATTCAGTCCGGATGGTATGTAGCCCCCAGTTGCTTCATAGCACCTGGCTAGGTTGGCTGACGGAAGCTTTCCCAGAGAGAATCATGTACGTGATCGGAGAGCTCTCACACACCGTCCTCGCCTTCGACCTCTCCGATGGCCCCGCCGAAGCCATCCCGCCCATCGCTGGCTTCGCTCCCAACATCATCCCCCCGGAGGTCCACCCCGACCACCAGTTCATGATGGACTCTTCCGAGATTTGTCTGCATCCTTCGATTCCCAACGTTCTCTATGTCAGTAATCGGTGGGAACGGCACATCGCGCCCCGCGAACCGCATCTGCAGAACGTCCCGCAGCAGCCCCCGCCCGGCGATGCGATTGCCATCATCTTGCTATCGGACGACGGCAGGAGTGTCAAGGCGATCAAGCACGTGCGCACCAAGCTCGATGTCATCCGTGGGATGCGGGTCAGCGACGACGGCAGGTACGTCGTGGCGGCAGGGCAGGAGGGTGGTGGTGTCGAGGTCTACGAGATTAGCGGGGATCGAGGCGATGTGTGGACCCTGGTGGCTGGGTTGAATGAGGGATTGGAGAGTGGCATTAAACATGCTGTCTGGCTATAGAAGTCATGGGACGAGCCCTGGCTGGATATCATTATCTTTTACTCGTACTTGAGAATTTAAGGTAGATTGACATGACCATTTGTATGATTGAGATCTGATAT